TTTCAAAAGCTAATGAAGTCTAATGCCCAATAGAAAACTGCAGGTACGATCCATTGATTGCAAACTTTATTGGCTTACTTGTCAGCTGGGGAGCAGGTAGACCAGTGCTTAAATACAGTGCAATTATTACATGGGATGTACTGGTACATGTACAGTTGGTCAAAAGAAACTGACCTCTAAAGGAAATTTTTGGTCATGTCGGTTTCCTCAATTCTCAGAAATAATGTGATTTATTCAAAACATATTAGGGGGGTGAAAAAAAATGACTTGTGTGGCTAGAAACTTTCAATGTCAAATGATAAGGCATGTGTTGAGTCAGAGCCTGGTTCATTGACCGACCGGTATTAGTACATGTAGATGGTATGCTTAGGACATTACGAATTTCTCCCATTTAAAAATCTCTCAAAACTTCACATCACTTTCAATGAAAAGACTAATGGGAGCATGTCTCCTTTGGGGATAAAAGTATCTATCCAATGACTCAACATCAAACCAATCCAGGCTTGCCTCCTACAGGTGGTCAGTCTTGGCATTGCCCCACCAATGACCACAGGTCACTGCAGTGAATGGTTCCTCTGGGAGTACATGTACTTTACATAAACTGCTCACAGAGAATTATAATAAGGGGGGAAAAAGTGGCCTACATTTACATGTACATGTACACAGGAAAGGAGTTTACCAGTACAGGTACATGTGTATACCAGTATACAGTACTTGTGGAAATACATACATGTACATGTACAATGCAATGCTCTTTGTACAAATACTGGTATGAGTGTGTGTTCAGGGATCCCATCTGGAGTAGGGATGCTCTAAATTGGCCCCTGTACTTCTTGCTGGGTTCTAAAAAATATACATGTACGTCTATTAACTATGTAAAACTTTATAGGTTTCCACAAGATATGAACATGCTTCTTTTCCTTTCAATTTACATTTTCAATTATCTACATCTATTTTATTCAAGGTGTTTGTGGGGATGGGTGGGATGGTGTTCACTTGCCCATGTACATGTATATTTTAAATGGCAACAACAATTTTTTCATGTTTGTAGAAAGGCTTGATGCTGCATTCTTCAAACAACACACCAATGTTGATTTGTCTCCATAAAAACCACAAAATAAACAAGTACATTGCTCAAATTCAACTAATTTGTATTTTGAAAGGATACAAGTGGGTATATTCACAAAATCAGACAAGTGATATGCATTCACTTGAAGATGCAAAACCATACAGAGAGTTTGAGTCCTAATTGACAGTTTTACCAAATTGGAAATAAATTACAGTAACTAGGGAAGCACATATTAATGAGCTTCATTTAGTAATGTTCTCAGTAGAACTGACAAAAGACTCTGCCAGATTAAGAAAACAAAGTGTGTTGTCTTTATAAGATGTACATGTGTACCGGTATATAAATGGGTGAACTGTTAAAAATTTCATCATAGAAACAGTTTCTGTTGCACATAATGAATCAAGAAACACAAGAACACATGGAAATAACAACCAGCCCCTTTAATAGCACCTTAGCATAATTAATAGCACCTTTAACTAACAAAAATGACAAAAAAGAACATGGCTATAAAAAAATGAAGCACAATACACACAAAACACACCTGAATTATCCTAAACATTTTATATAACCAGAAGCAATCTGTTTGAGGTACGTGCAGATGACAATCACTGTCACTCGTAATACAAGCCAAATCACCAACTTAAAAATCTAGAATTTGCATAATAAACGCGGTGATTCATGAGAACATCTTTCCTGAACTTGCACCCAACGAGTCATAAATTTTGTATTATAATTACCCTGCAATATTTCAGGTAGAAAATAAACTGGGTTTTAACATGAATATTACAGCATTAAGAGCATAACGCAGAAAAGTAATACTATAGGCTACTGTAAGTATCTGTTGTTTGAGTTATTCTAACTTCCAAGTGATAAGGGTATTTCAATTAAAATAAGGTTTGTCAATTTTTAATTTAAAGAATTTTGTATAAAGGAGCAGTAGTAACTTCAGTTTCTGTTTTTTTCTGCTCGATACTGTGCTTCTTTTTGCCTCCCAGGTACAGTATGCTTTCTAGGTACAGTGCATGTTTTAAACAGCCCTGAACACTCTTTACAGAATTAACCAAATAACTTTACTTGGTCTGAGAAAGAAATCTTGTGAGTACTAGAATTCAAATGTTTTCTCTGTAAATTTGCATAAAAATAAAACTTTTTTTCAACATTGAGCATTTTAGCAGACTGTTTTGATTTACCTTTATCCTTCCCTGTTGTTTAATGAGGCTTATAATATGGGATTTTTTACTAAAGTGTTTGTCACAATGTGTTGGTTGCTGATTAATTCATTTAAGTTCATTAAGTAAGTTCTACATGTATTCCATAAATGGATATCTCCAGTGTATGGCCTCTCTTACAATATCTGGCATTTTCTTTGAAGTGATTACATTGTGCAGTTGTACTTCTTGCTCATTGACAAGGATATGGTACTTTTTATTGTCTGGCCGTAGTGTGCCGGCTGGTTCATCATGGGATAGCGGTGGGACGACTGGGGAACCATTTGTTTCTCCACTCTTAAAATACTGTACAACCATGTTTGTATGACTTATTAGCAAATACGTATAGATGAAGGAACTTTTCTTTCAATATCATGAACAGTCAACATCACTTTAAGACTTATATTTATCGACATTTACATGTATCTCGCAGACAAGACTTTTTTACGCTGCTTTTTCTTTTTTTTCCTTTTTGTAAGTTGTTTGTTGGAATCAGTACTTTCTGTTGAAGGAAATCCCAAAACAATATGAATATCAACAAAATAGTCAATATTTAAGAGTCATCATGACAAAATCCACAACAAATTCCATTCTGTTTTTTTAAATGTATCAAAAATTCATTTGCAGATTACTTCTGTGCATACAGTCCAAACAGAGTTCATTAAGTAATATAAAGATAACAGGTAACACCCCAAAATAATTAAATCAAACACTAGAGTCACACTGTTATTAAATTGCTCTCCTGCTTGTGAAAACTGGGTTTCCACAGAAATCTGACAACTGCATTTCATGACTTTTCCAGGATTTTTTTTAGGAATAAGAAGTTTAAAAATGCATGCCCAAGATGTCTGTGGGAAATCCTAAAACATTTATCTGAGTAATCTTTACCTGGAAATGAAATGTTTTCAAGGTTTACTGCAGTTCCATCTTGCAGGAAAATGATCCTTTGAAGGTATCCACTGCTACTTAGAATAGTGCCACTGTGCCCATCACTGTCTTGTTTCAACCTGCTAGCCTTGCTGACACTCACTTAAAAACTGTAAATGCTTCCTTTTACACTTTGTGACAGTAATCTTTTTGTGGCAAAGATATATATGTTGGCTGTAATACTCATGCATGTACATGTAAAACTAAAATATTCAAAGGTAAAAATATGTGATCTATGAAGACAGGACGACTTTTCAAAAATCCTTCTAGAGTTTTTTGGCATTTCATTACATCAACAGGTAATAATTTTGTACATCTACCACAGAAAACTGTCTGCAAATATTCCGATTTACTAATCCTGCCTACATGTACATGTAAGTGGGTTTTTCTTTGAGAAACATTTACAGAGCATTTACAAGTAAGTAACAAATTTGTTATTTATTCATTAATTCTTTATACAAGTACCGGTATGTTTTGGAAATACGTATTAATTTTTAAATCATATTTCTTTTGGATATACCGGTATGCCAACAACTGAATGTTAAAATAGAACATGAGCATGTTACTTACGTCTTTAATGATGCTCTTCATAGGTAGGAAGTGGATGTCTTACGGAACGTTCATCCACCCAGATATCATGCCCAGTATATCCAATAAAACTAACTAGGTATGACCATTCTTCATCTTTGACTACTTTAGCTGCACACCATCTTCCCAACTCATGGAATGCCTGGACGCGACTTCCAACTGAGAATTTTCCTGCCATTTTGCCTTCCTTAGAAACTGAACATTTTGAGAACTGCACCAAGACTATAAAATGAGGGATGATTAAGATGAGGAAATCATGTCAAATCTATTGCCCTTTTGACAGCTAATTTACTGTTGGAGACTCTGCTGTGAAAGGAAAAAGGCCCCCCCAAATATTTCATTTTAACTGATGACACAATTATCTCATTGATTTTCTGACTGCAAATGATTACTTTGTTAAAAATTGCTTTTTTATACGTGCACCAAACATTTCATATAGATTATAAATGTATGTGACAATGAACTCTAAATTCACAACCAGCAAAAGATGACAAAAAACTGTCATTCACTTTGTACAAGGACTGGTACCTTTGGCAGGGGTCAAAAGCATAGGCTGTGCATGTACATGTACATTGTGGGTAGTTGGGACTGATGCTGTATATGTAGGTGGGGCGTAACAACCTAATTGTACGTTTGGAATTTGGGCACATTATCAAGGGGTCTGTATGTGTGGAACTCATGAACATGTACAAACTTATTGTGAACATGTTTTCAATAAGTCGTGTCATGACTCTATTCTATACGTGTACATGTATGCGTCACTAGCCAATGTGGATTGTGCATGTTTATTTGATTTGTGTATGCCTTAGTGCTGCACCTACCCGGCAGGTGCCAGAAGTGAAGGTTTGGTTCGGTTCTGTTTAATACACAGTTTGGAATTTTTTTCTGAACTTTGGTTTGAGTTTGTACACGTAAATGTACCCTCATGTACAATGCACTTGTTGTGTGGTAGAGTGCTACACCTGCACGCCTTGCTAAATAACTATTCCCTCTGGTGTTGCCTCTGATCATGCATGAGTGTGACTTTGATCAGCATCCAATCAAAATTATTTTGCACGACCATTTATGACATAACTGGCCTACTATGAAAGATAAAGCATTGCTACATGTATTGGCAAACTACTGGTAATGATAAATGTGAATTATGAAGCACAATTTCATGTGGTGAGAATTTTAATAGAATTATTGTGTAGTAGAAATGCGGTAAATGTTATAATTGTTGAAGCCCATTTTTTTACTGTTGCAGTGGACCGCCCTCGGTACAGTGTGTAAATCAAAAAGTCAAGTACCCGCCTCCCTCCGTTAGTTAAACCATTTTTTTTTCTCTGTTTTTAACAGAAACCACTCATGGGTCAGCTTTTCTGGATTTTCTGAGTCCTATAATGGTACCTTCAAATTGACAAGACACACAGGTACAAGAAGGAATACCTAAGCAATATACATTGAATAGAAAACTTTGTCAATTGTTTCAACAATTACGATTTAGTTGTGGTGCAATGTTGAAAGCAAGAATCAGTGCTATTGTAAAATTTACATCAAAGGTCTCTCTGCGAAGAATGTGTCTTCTGTATTCTTCAATGGCGAGTTGGAGAACAAAATGCGAGAAGGTGGCCATCTGGACATGTGCAACATGGTGAAAGTTGACAGTGACAAAGATAAAGTTCTCGCTGAAGTTGAAAAGCTGAGGAGAAAGGAGCCTTATGAGCATCGCAACTGTCATGCAAATTGCAAGGCCAAAGGTAATCAATGTTATTATTGAAGTTGGAAACAGTTGTTTGTGTATGCTTTTGATGTTACCAGATGAAGGGCAGTTAAAAGAATGCATCATCAGTGCATCGGTGGCTTAGGATTGCATTTTTGTCTTTTTGTAGACATTTATTTTGTGGGAGGGGGGAGTGGAACTGTGCATTCATGTATGTAGAAGAGCTTTTCAGATGGTGTGCATTAATCTGTTGGACCGAGTAAGTCCATTGTTGATTTCAAATGTTTTGCAATCACTTTCTGGTGGGATTCTTCTGTTAGTTTTTCCTTGCCAACAAGTGTCCTGGAATAAATCTATTTATAATCATTTATGAAACTGCCCGCACCCTTGTGCTTCATAATGAATTCTAAAGTACTCTGGCTCCAGCTCCGCGCTGTGGAGATCACGCTGGTCTCCATTCCATACATAGTGCCCAGACGTTTCACGGCTTATGAATAGATCAATAAGGTCAGGGACCAGTCCAAGATCACAGTGGCATAGTGTGTGTGGGCCCTACATGTATCATTATGCAAAAGATACCTGTAGATGTAGGGTAAATGTAGGCCTACACTACATGTACATATGTCTGTAACAGTCATCAAAGTTACACAAAGCATAAACCTTATAGTACATGTAGATGTGTCCCCCCACAACTTAATTCAACTTGCAATTAATTGGAGCAGTAACACTACTGCTTAAAGGGGATAATCTTTGCTGTGGAGATTTCTTTTAAAACATGCACCAGCACATAAAACAAATATATATAGCAAGAAAACACATCTGAATAATTTCAAAATGTGCGGAAATATGTTAAAAATTATAGTTTTTCACGACCCCATTTCACTCCCTTCTGGAAGCAAAAGCTACAACAGCTGTCAGGTATTGAAAGTTGTCCAAAGAAATTCCCAAGAATCGTGACGCCATAGGACAGAGTCTTTTATCCGGCGACTGTTTCCTGTTATGTAATGACGCGTAGACATGTAGAGTACATGTACATTATGTAGAAGTGTTATATTCCCCACGCACGCACTGCACTGAATATTCACAAAACCATATAAAGTAAATCAACAAAGGAAGCCTTTTTAAAAATATATAAATAACACAAACACAGAATACTACTTTAATCTACAGGATGATGTCTGCAATCAATGTGACCTTCCAGTACCGCAAGGCAGAAAAAATAACAAAGGTAAGCCACGCTTGTATTTAATGCTTGTGTATATATGTACATAAATTGGTTGATAAATTGGGAGACAATGTAGCCCAGGCTCTCATAAGACTTCATTCCTTTTCTGGTTGTGATATTGTAAGCTCTTTTCGAAGTAAAGGAAAGAATAAGTTTGTGGAGGTCTTGCTGAGCAAGGAGAGATATATATTTGCGTTCACCCAGCTAGGAGCAGAATGAGAAGTCACAGAGCAGTTAAGAAAGCAAATTGAAGAATTCGTCTGTGATGTGTATGGACAGAAGCAATACCAGAGTATTAATGATGCTCAATTCAACTGTTTTCTCCTTGGTCAAAATGACAGTGCCCTGCCTCCAAATTGGGACAGTTTGCTTCTACACATCAAACGAGCAAATTACCAGACAGCTGTATACCAGACAGCTGTATGACTCCGTCAGACCAAAGTCTGCAAACTCTGCTATTGAAGTAGAAATTACCATACACCATGAAATCTGCTGAAATGAGCTTTTGATAATCCTGGATGAACCACAGGATTCCTTTAGGTTTGAGCCTATGGTATAAAATGTGGTACAGTTTTGCACTGTACATCACAACTACTGGAAGTATGTAACTCATCGAAGTATGTCCAATCTTTTGATTAAAAATATCTCAAGCATTTTACATTGCAGTTAGGAGTTTGTTGAAAATTAACCATTTAATTATTAAACACACAATAGCAGAAATTGTTCAATTTTTATCAGTTAAATCATTCCAGGCTTTATTTAACTGATAAAAGTTGTTCAATTTTTATCAGCTAAATCAAGCCATTCTGCTATTGTGTGTTTACGTGGTGTGAAATCACTTAGTAGGATTATTAGTCAACATTTGCAGGCACGTACATGTACATGTATAAAAAGACCTAACTAGTTAGTCAGAAACAAATGACTAATGTTTCTGTTTTTTAAAAAAACATGCTGTACAGTGTACTTGCGGTACACTTTGTTTGGTAAATGATGTTTTAATGCTGTACCAGTACACAATTTTGTAGGATCTGTTTGTCATTCAATCATGTTACTTGTAATTACTTGTATAAATTTGTAGAATTATCTCACGGCAATGGATGGTTGGTTGTACGGTACATAACGCTATAATTTTATAGTCCATAATTGGAAATTCTTTTCACATGTGAGATGAACTGAATCCTGTACAATTGACTCTATAGCAAGTGTTAATGTAGCAGGGAACATCCAGGCATAATCTGTTCTATAATAACTAGAATTATTAAACAAAGGGGGAAATGTAACCTTCATAATATTTACCTCGGCTAGTTCTTTTCATCGCATGGACTTTCAAGAGTGGGAAATTCCAGACCTGTGATTTTCTGAGCTGTTTTCTTGAGGCCATTCCATTTCCTTGTTGAGTTTTGTGAGATTACAAAAACAAATTATTTAAATAAAAGTAACAGTTGAATAACTCTAATAAGAGAACCAGAAGTGTATTCTCGATAGTAAAATATTATTTTGTAGATAATGTGTTTTATATTAGTAATCAAATTGTAAATAATATCTGAATAAATACATGGACCATTCCTGGTAATTTGGGTAATGTGGTTAACATTACAAAAAAAAGGAATCCCTGTCCTGGAACAATTTAACTTGTAATAAGGAACAAAATTTCAGGTAATTTACTGCCTGTTTATTTTCTTAATCTTTCAGACAGTTTTTCATCATCCCTGTTGACTGCTGGTTTTTAATAATACCCTTCACACAACCTAATAAAATTTGTATATTGGAACTAAATGTAGCTGCCCCCCCCCTTCCTTACATGTATTTCTGAGTGGATTCGCTTTGTAACACACTGACTTTAGAATTGGACTCTTGGGTGCAGTGTTCCAAATGCCAAACTACGTGTAAGTTTCACTGCCAATGCACTGGCTTATTCCTGGATAAGTCATCAGACTTGGAGTTTGAGTGCTGCAACCTAAATTCTGAATTCCGGTCACCTGTGATTTGGCTATTTTAAGGTTTAATTAGGTGATTGTGTTATGCTGTAATCAAGTTTTTTTTTGGATGGTAATGTACACTGTCTGCAACTATTCTTTAAAAACGTAAAGATTTTGTTCAGCAGTGAGTGTCTTAATGCTGAATTAAGTTGTTGCATATAATTACGTTGTTTATAGATCCACTTGTAAAATGTTACATCTCAAAGTAATATTCTACATGTTTATCAACCATCTCAATGATCTGATCTTCCAAGCAAATCATGAATGTGGTTATTTCTTCTATGGTTTGGGTAATATAATTTTTAAAATAGAGCACTGAAGATATCCTATATGATCACCTCGGAAGTACATGTTTTTTGTTTTTTTGACATTCCAGAATCACAACATGAAGAGATTGAATTTTTAAGACAGAAGTTTGTTAAGAGCCATTAATGTAACATGTGGAAGATGTTGGTATTCTAGTCCAGTTGTCCTTGAATGCCCACACATCCCAACTTATTGGTGTCAAAATTAACAAGGGCCACCTGCAAGAATAAACCATGTTAAAGGTTCCCAGCTATTTAAAATAAAACATAGTTATGGTGATTGAAAATATGGTTAAGATAATAAAAAAGACAGAAATTCTCATCGGAGGAGTCCAATGAGTGGTAATATTAGCCATTTTAAATCAAGAATTTCTGATCCAGCACCCCGCCCTACAAAACTCCCCTAACACTGAATGCCCAGATGTTGATGATTATGACGTCACGTAAAGAACACCTTACCAAGCGTCTGCATGCCACGCGTACAACATTCACCTTTCTTCGTGCAAACTGAAAAAGATGGCAGATTCTGAAGTTTCCAAGAGCGATTTTGAAGCCAATTTTTCGGAGGATGAGTTAAACAGCTCTGAGGATGATTGTAAGCACACAAATGAAGTCGGTCAGGTCGTACCGTACATGTACGAACCCGAAGTAGCGAGCGGTGACAGCGACGATGATGCTGGAAATGTCATCACGGGGGTGCAAGACAATGGTGAGGACATGGCATGGCGACTCGGTAACAACACTTGGTAAGCAANGTTGTGATTGTGATGTCCTTGCACAAGGGTCAGATAATTTGAGGTTGTTTTCCCACACTGTATATAAAGCTGTATGGTACATGTACACTGTACATGTACAGACAAGTACGGTTCGATTTACACTTGTTTCATTTACAGGTGCTCTTGTGGCAGCTGTGTTGCCGTGGCAGCTGTGTTGCCATGCCGGCAGTGAAGGTGTCAGTTTGTTGTAAGGAGATTGAGCAAGTGGTTAAGACGATGGAAAACTACAATGAAACATTGGACTGCATAACGGAGCATCCAGGTTTTCTGACTGTGTGCTTGGATGGATGGGTTTTAGACACTGCCTACTTTCAGTATACTTGGTGAATCCAGTTAATTTGCAGTTTAGCTTCCCTGTGGTTTTATTACCATCGCAGGATTGATTCCCCTTTGCAGGATGGAGTGTAAATTCGATCTTGGTATGATTCCTTCCATCTTTACCTGGCACAGTATTCATCTTTTCAGTATAGTCTAGTCCATGATCATATGAAGTTTACTACATACTAGTACTCAAGCAGTTTCGTCACTCTGCAATATGAAATCTCTGATGAAAGCCATTCAAAGTCTGTAAAAAACAGGCACATAGCAATGAAACTAGATCAGAAGAAAATTACAGAGAAAGTCCTGTTCCTTAGCACCTGCAAAATAGTCAAACAGCTTAAAGCAGAATTCAGCCAACAAATCAAATGGGCCCCCATATCCAAGAAAGCTGGGGAGAACAAAACCACAGCAAAAACTCACCATTGCTGCCGGGAGTAAGGAAATCACTGATGAACTGATCATCACACCGACAGACGTGAGGGCACTCACAGATGAGAACCAGGCTTAGAAAGATGAAGGTACCAGAGGACAACAGAAAAAAAATCTAAAGACTGAAGAAGGAACTTGCAGGGAAGACTGCAGAGAGTACCGAAATTGCAACAGGCATGCATGTAAACACGGAGGATCTGGTTGATGGAGAGGAAATAGGCCAAGGGAGATGCGGATCCTGCGAAAGATTGACGTACATACATGTATAAGGCAATTTCAGTTGTTGTGAAGACCATGCTGAACCTAGAGCAGCTGTCTGCTAAGGAGCTTTGCAGGGCTGTGGAGAAAGGGGCTATAATATAAAATGATGCTATAATTGCATTCATTCCTTTACCCGTGTCGCTTATATTGCAACATACATGTCACCATACATGTAGTTGATTGACAGGTTCTGCAAAACTCCAAGGTCATGAAGATGAAAAGAGCTGCATACACAGACAAAACTTCAATCCCCCAATCACACACTTACTAGAGTAGTCTTTAAAGTGGGAATTGTTTTCCAATTTTATGTAAATCCTTTAGAATTTTCTGAGCTTACCTTTGCTTTTTAAAACATTTTTTTTTCACTTTTTGATGGCTAGTATAACTGTGTGGGTTCTACTGAAAACCCGAAATGCAAACAAATACTGGTTGTAAAAATGCTCACACAAAAATAAAAATTGTTCTACGGGTAAGCAAAATAAATCAACAAAGTGTCAACAACTTGAAAATACATGTACATGTACCCTCTACAGATTTAAAAGTGGGTTTATCATAATTAAGGGACTCTAAGACCTGCTACTGTGTAAGAGAAACATCGAATTCGCTTCCAGATTCACGCAGAAAAACAAAACTTTCTTCACTCCGTCCTTGCAAAAACAAGATGGCAGCTGGTCCGGCTGTAAGAGCAGGTCCGACTTTGGCACTCAAATTTTCACACTAACATATCATTTTCCACTACGTGATATAATGAATGTGATATGTAGGAGCCTTGCTAATATTGTACAGTGTAAATATAAAACATTTGCTTAAAAATGCTTAATTATTTTGTTGACACTCATTGTACAACGTAATTAGCATGACCCTGAGCACTGTTTAATTTACATGTACCATAGTGAAATTATAAAACTCCAATGAATGTTCAGTTTATACATGTATATTTCTGAGAAAGCCAAAATGCAGATTCATTATCTTTTAATGCATGTTATTTTGTCATATTGTTAACATTTTGATAGGAATCATTCCTGGGTAAGCTTTGTCGGCTTTGCGGAATCTTATAATGCCACACATGGAGTAACTCGCTACACAGGTAAATATATATTTTTAAAATTTTGTTGGTTCTTTTTTTTATATCTTTGTTCATGGCCAATTTGATTTTCATGTTTTGTTCAAATCTGCCAGGTGTAGTACTCAACAGTACTTCAACTGTGGTTTGAAGGGGGCTAGGTAGACCCAAATAAAGAATCGGTACATGTTTTTATGTGTATTGTTTTACTGAGTTCAGGAATCTTTTTCTTTCACTTTATGTTTGTTTTTATGTTTCTGGTCTTTATGTTTGTGAGCTGCAAAAGCATGCTCGTACCCTTTTACTTATTGTACATGCATATAGGCAGTAAAGACCATTGACCATGCCATACATGTAGTTCTTTGTTCCTGTGTTCTTGGAAGTGGTAGTTCAGAAGATTTGCATTTGTAATAAAGGCTCATAGAACTGTGCACATCCCAGAGGTCATGCTATTTACTGTCAACAAGTGTCAACAACTTGAAATACCCTCTACAGATTTAAAAGTGGTTTTAATATATTGTAGACACTAACACTTGCTACTGTATAAGAGAAACACCAAATCTGGAAGCAATACATGTAGAT